AGGTGGGAGAGGGGGGAGCCCCTGGCTCGTGTGATGAGAGGGGGATGAAGCCATAAGCTGTTAAGCCACCGCAAAGCCCCTCGCGTTCTGGCCCCGTTATCACCGACTCCTGCTCACATCTGCTCCTGGCGTTATTTTTAACGGGGTATTAAGGACTTTTGGGTCCTGAAGCAGAAGGGGGCTCTGCTTGTGTCCCCCCGAAATCAGAAGCCACATTTTGAGGGCTGCAGAGGTGCCCATGAGACACTAACACCAGTCCTGCTGCTATTGGGAGGGAGAACATGACCCCCCCCGGATCATCCTCCCCTCCACACCCACCCATCAGCTTTGCAGAAGGTCCCAGTGCTGGTCCCAGCAAGCTGGTGGCACTGGGGAAAGGCTGGAGGGGAAACCAGGCAGGAACAGAGGGATGCTGCCAGGGATATAAAAAATAAAGAGAGATTTATTAGCGTTGAGTCAAGTGCAGCCTCAGCGCAGTTTTACACACAAAAACTGTGTAAATGGTGGGAGAAAAATTCAGAGGAGACCTGGAGGGCACAGGGAGAAGAGACCCCGAGCAAGGTTAGGTTAAAAGGGTATTAAAAAAAAACCCCAAACAAACAAAAAGAAACATCAGATAAATTATTTACAGTTCAAATTGATGACACGTAAGAGGAGGCTGAAGGCTCACGAGCTGAGAGAGCAAGAAAAGGGGCTGAGATGAGACCCAGGCCCCGAGCGGGTGTTTCAGCGGCGGGATGGGCTGTGGGGCAGCGTTTACCCACAGCCAGGACCTTCCTCCAGCATCAAGTTCTGCTTCGAGGTGGGAGCTGTGGTGGGGTGAAGCCTCGGTGCTGTGGTGTGGCCCCTGCTCCCGTGACAGGAATTCATCAGCATTTCCAGTGGAGAAAGGCCAGGGAGATTGAAGGAACGAGATTCACCCTTTTTCTGGGTGTTTCTGCTAAAAATCACCCAACTGGTAAAACCAGAGACACACGGAGCTGCTGAGGTGCACGGGGGGCATCGCTGCTGTCCCAGCCGGGCTGGGGGCTTACAGGACGGCTCCAGGGGGCCACTGGGGGAGGTTTAGATTGGATATTAGGAAAAATTTATTCACCAAAAGGGTAGTCAAGCATTGGAACAGGCTGCCCAGAGAGGTAGTGGAGTCTCCTTCCCTGGTGGCATTTAAAAGACGGGTAGATGAGGTGCTCAGGGACATGGGTTAGAGGTGGAATTAGCAGAGTTGGGTTTATGGTTGGACTCGATGATCTTAAAGGTCTTTTCCAACCACTGTGATTCTGTGATTCTATTCCTGTGCTGGTGGCCTCTCCTGGAGCACGTCGTCAAGGGCAGAGAGACTCACACAGGCTGGTGGCAAGAAGGGAATCCCACCGCTGGAGACCCCAGCACCACACAGCTTTCGGTGCCGCTGCCCCCGTAACTCCAGAAGAGATCTGCTCCATTTACCAGTATGGGCAGTTTTCTTGCCAGTGCCTTAAACCCCCTGGAGAGACCTGAGCTGAACTGTGTTCCTCCAAATCATGACCCACCAGCAAAGACTCCGGAGCCGAAAAGAGGATGCAGCCCCAGTGTGGATGTGTGAGCTGGTGGAGTCCAGCCCCTCTCCCAGCCCGGAGCCGTTTCTGAAGAGAACACCAACAGGGGCACTGGACGTGCTCATCATGGCTCTGAACACCACGAGCAGCACCCGCAGGGGATGGGTTTCAGCCTGGCAGCCTGGGGCACCCCCATTTCACACTGGAAGAGCTTCCTGGGTCTGAAACAGCACCCAGGGAATGCTGCCCTGCCAGCACCGCCGGCCGAGCTACAGCCTGGCCAGATTCTTCCTTCTGTGAAGAAACTCCTTCCTGGGCTCAGATCTTCTGCAGGAGGCCCTGAGCCACCCTCTGTCTCCTGCAGTGACACTATGCAACTTGCCATTTTCTTCTCTTCATCGTTTCCTCATCTTCATCTTCACCATTTCCTCATCTTCACTGTCACCCTCACTGGCACACAAGGCTAAAAAGAATTTAACAGGGGAAAAAAAGACAGCCCAGCCTTGAGCTGCCTGGAGAACAGGTCACCCAGCAGATGATCCGGCCTCTCCAGGAGCAAATTGATCTGGAGCAAAGCTGCTGATGGGCAAGCACGTGGGAGGGTGAAAGGTGGGCACAAGGGTAGGAAAGAGCTTTTGCCAACTTGTTGGATCCAATTAGTCAAAAAGAATTGAAAAGCTCAGCAGGAGCCCAGCACGGGGCCAGGACCACTCTCCTCACCGAGCAGCTTTGCATCACCACACAGCAGAGCCCTGCTCTGCTGGGGAACAGGCTGCGGAGCTCAGCTTGAGCTCAGGCCTCCTGGGCTTCCCCTGCCTCGCGCTCTGGGTTTGCCACACGGCTTTGCCAGGCCAGTGGCCACGGGGAATTGCACCCACTGTGCCCTCAGCTGGAGACAGGCTGGAGTCACGCGGCTTTGATCCACTCTCCCCTCTGGTCAGTGGGAACATGGATCAAGTTTGCAGCTCAAGCCTGTTTCTGGTCCCTTCAACTGACCTTTGCACCACCATGGGTGAAGGTCAGGAACCTGGGGCAGATGGGACTGTTCCCCCTTGCACCTTGGCTTGCTAGGAAGGCCACTGGGACCACTGGTGGCAAATGGTGCTGTTCTGAAGAGCACATCCCCTCACAGAGGGGGAAGAGACTGCATCATCCTGGGACGCAGCCACGAAAGCGCTGCAGAGCCCTCGTGACACCTTGGCCTGTGGATCTGGCACACAGAGGGCTACTGCCTCTCTGTCTTGACGTGGTCTCCAATCATCCTCCGGTGATACGTGGCCAGGAAGATGTCATTGTCTCGGGGGCAGTCATAGTGGCAGGAGCACATCTTGATGAACATCATCTTCCTCTGGAAGAAGTCCCCCTCGGGGCAGCGGAACTCCACCTCCGCGGTGCTGGTGACGTAGGGGGTGCAGCAGCGACCGTCCGAGAACCTGCCACAGAACTTGGGCCGGTAGGAACGGGTGCTGGTGCAGCCCGAAAACTCAAAGTGGAGGCTCTGGCGTGGCTTTGGGGTCCTCACACACTTCTTCCCCTTCTAGGGAGAGAGCAGATGGGTTAACAAGGACATGACAATCAAACAAAAGCTCCACCTACACCTCTGCTCCATCTCCACCGCTGGGCAATAGGACACAGAAAACCTGCAAGCACTGAGCAAACCCTGTGAGATGGGCTCGTGCCTGACAAGCACCTTAACGAGGTTGTCCCTGACGTCATGGTGTTGTGTCCCCTCTCCCCAAGCCCAGTACCTTGGTTTTCTCCGTGGAGAAGTTGCAGGGCCGGACCATGCAGAGCCGGGTCTCCTTCTCCAGGCGGCACTGGGGGTTGTCGTTGGTTACTCGGGCAGAGATGCCCATGCCGCAGCTCTTGGAGCAGGCGCTCCACTCGGTGGTCTGCACCAAACAGTTCTCCTGCAGGTTATTCAGCTCTGGCTCATGTGCTGGATCCTCCCGGAAAACTGAGCCACGTGGAAGAGACACAAGGCAAGGTTCAGGGCTTGGGAGAGAGTGTGGCAGCTCGGTGGCTGCTCCCAACTTGGTCTAACTCTTCAGGGACAGTAGCAAAGGTCTGATCCATCCCCCGAGCTCCTCAGCCTCTCAGCAGGAGGAGGACACAGGCAACCACGGGGTCATCTCCTACCACAGCCCAGCTCCAGCCAGTTCTGCTGTGGTATCAGCGGCTGTGTGAACCTCCCTGCAGCATCACTAAGGTCTCACCTTAACAGGTCTGGAGTTCAACACCTGGTACCTGCACCATGGTGCACAAAGTAAGCAGCCACCACCAGTTCCAAACCAGATGTGACTCAGGGTCCCAAGCCAAAGGCAGTTCAGATCCACCCCTACCCCCAGCAAAGAGCTCCCAGCCCTGTCACACCTGCCCACCACTCACCCGCCATGGCTGTTTCGAAGCGGTTTTCCTCGCTGCCCTCCTCGCAGATCCACTCTTCACAGCACTTATTGCGAAACTTCACCCTCCGAGGGTTGGGGCACTCGGGGGACGGCAGCCGCAGGTCATCGGAGCAGAGGGGGATGCAGCCGATGGCCCCGTCCATGCAGATGCACTGCAGCTTGCAGGTGGGCTGGAAGCTCTCCCCATTGTGGTAGATCTTGCCCAGCAGGTCACAAGTCGCACCCTCGTGAGCTGTGGGAAGGGGAAAGAGGAGAAGCTGAGCAGATGGTGTGGGGCTGGCAGCACAGGCTCTGCCTCGGGGGTCACAGGGCTCCTGATCATAGAATCATAGAATCCCAGACCGGTTTGGGTTGGGAGGGGCCTTAAAGCTCATCCAGTTCCAACCCCCCTGCCGTCAGCAGGGACACCTTCCACTAGACCAGGTTGCTCAAAGCCTCATCCAGCCTGGCCTTCAACACTTCCAGGGAGGAGCAACCACAGCTTCTCTGCCCAACCTGGGACACTGTCTCACCACCCTCACACCAAAGAATTTCTTCCTCACATCTCATCTCCATCTCCCCTCTGCCAGTTTCAAACCATCACCCCTTGTTCTGTCACTCCCTGCCCTTGGCCAAAGTCCCTCCCCAGCCTTCCTGGAGCCCCTTCAGGTACTGGGAGGCCACTAGAAGGTCTCCCTGGAGCCTTCTCTTCTCCAGGCTGAACAGCCCCAACTCTCTCAGCCTGTCCTCACAGCAGAGCTGCTCCTGCCCTGGCATCATCCTCGTGGCCTCCTCTGGACTCGTTCTAACAGGTCCATGTCTTTCTTGTGTTGGGGGCTCCAGAACTGGACACAGAACTCCAGGTGGGGCCTTATGAGAGCAATGAGGGACAAGTGTCCCCATGCAGACCCTCCCCTGCTCTGCCATCCCAGCAGAAGTTGGCACATTTAGTGTTTAGCTCCCTGGACCACAGGCTATTCCTGACATTGGTTTTTGGAAGCTGGCTCCAGCTGTGCCAGACCTCCCAAAGTTCTCTAGGAAAATCTCTTCTCCACTTGGATGAGCTACTAAGTGGGACTTTGTCTTTACAGCTTGAAAACAGCCTGTTCTGCAGTCAGAGATCTTCCCGGGCAGCCCTCACTCCAGTTTAGGGAGATGTCCTGGTCTAAGTTCATCTGGGATTTTTACCATGAAAATCTTAATTTCTCATTTAAAGGCAGGAAGGACAGTTGTGATCTTCCAGTCTGATTTTCTGCACAGCAGTGATCTGAGACTCTCCTAAAATCCTTGTATCAAAGCCAGACGTTGTCGTGAATACGAAGCACTTTCATCAGAGAGCTGTCCAGTCTTCATGTGAAGTCTTTGAGCTGGAAACTCCTCCATACTCTTGAGTAAATAATTCCAATGATTCAGGCACCTTAACTCTACAAACATACACCTCATTTTCAATCTTAATTCGGCACCTTACACCTGCTGGATGTTATTACACTTACATTTAACCTTCAATCATCAGCTCTCAGCTGTATCAGTGCCTACAGACAGGACTAGGAAGCTCATGGGACCTCTAAAGATCACAAGAACTGGGGGAGAAAAAGAAAACAACTTATAAAAACTTCTCATCAGAATCACAGAATCGTGCTGGTTGGAAAAGACCTTTAAGATCACTGAGTCCAACCATAAAGGAGACATCTTCTACAGGTTAAATTTATTATTTAGAATAATAAAAAATAATGGTATGTGATCCTGGCACTGCCAAGCAGTGCAGTTCCACCCTGTCTCGGGGTGGTGCGAGTGGTTCAGCTGCCGGAGCGTTTCCAGACATGCCACGTGCCGTGGCTGAACACTTCCCAGAGCCTCTCCATCAGCTTTCCAGCCCTCACATCTTCCTGACTATTTTGAAAAGCTTGAATTAAAAATAATGGTCAGCTCCTGGCAGAGAAATCTTGTTTTTCAAGAGAGAACAGGAGACTGAGGAAATACTTTTTTTTTTTTCTCCTCTCCACCAAAATAATTTTTTTCATGCTTTAAAAATAGCTACTAAACAACCAAAAAAAAAAAAACCAACCAAAAATATTTTCCTTTTCTGGCTGAAAAGAGGCAGCAGGATTAACTCAGAGAAAACAGCTCTGCGTTTGGATTTACCTGGCTCAGTAATTCTCATGTTCTACACATACACTGTTTTGCAAACGAGTTCTTCAGCTATTTCCCGCCACGTGCCATGGCCAGCAGTAGGATACACCTCTCGAGCACAAAATGCCAATCTCTAGTGCAAGGCAGGGAGATTTTGGGGTGAGATTTTCCAAACAGTGAAATTTTCTACTTTCCAGTAAAAGTCCAGATTGCTGATATTTACCCACAGGCACTACAGGACTATAGGATGTCACCTAAAAATGTCACAGGAGCAAAGGAGAGTCCCAAACCCTGACTCGTGACTTTGGAAACATCCTTCAGTGCAGGAGGAAGTAGGTTGTGTGTGTGTCGATATCCGGGAATCTGCTGGCTCGTGGAGCTGGCACAGATCTCACAACGTGATGCTGGATGAAGCTCCAAGCGCTGCAGGGGATTCTGACGAGGCCGTGGGTTTGCTGGGAGGTCTGCAGGGCTGAAAGGAGCCACAAGAAAACCACACGATAACAGAACATCCAGCTCTCACCTAAACAGATCCCGCTGCCTCTGTGGATTTTGGAGAAGTCGCAGTAGAGTCCCTTGTGATGATCACAGGGTTTCTGCAGGGAACAGAGCTCGCCAAGCTGCCTGGCACACACCTTGCAGCAACCACAGGCATCCAACACATGGCTGGTGCCAGCGGGGCACTGCAGAGGCTGGGAGGGACACTGGCATGGGTACGTGCAGGCCTGTGGTTCTACCTGGAGGGCAAACAAGCCATGGAGAGAATGAGTCTCCTGCAAGTCAGCCAGGCAGAGAAACGAACAAAAACAATTCTGCTTCAAGCACAGACACCCCATCAGGAGGAGCACGGACCAACTTCACCCTCCACCGCAGAGCCATGCAGCAGAGGACCTGTGTGCAGCTCCCAAGGACTCACAAGACAAATCTTTTTCTCATCCTTCACTCATCTGGAGCTCAAGGGAGAAGCTGAGCCAAAACAAACAGGACAAGCAGTAGCTTGGAGTCCCATGCACAGTTCAGCCCCCCACTTCCCTGGAAGCAATAAACCAGTAATTATTAACAGTTAGCAATTCCCAGCTCTTACGTAGCACTGCTCAGGAGAAAACACTGAAGCACTCTGCAGCAGCAGCATCAGACCCGGCCTGAAGATGAAAAAAGCAAAGGTGTGTAGCAAAAAGGACTTGCCCAAAGTCAGCCAGCGCTGGAAACGCACCCAAAGGCTCCCATTTTGTCCCCTGGATCTCGTCCTTTCTTCGTTACTCCCACCCCTCTCCTCCCCCCCCCCCTCCCCTCCCCTCCTCTCCTCTCCTCTCCCCTTTCCAGGGAATGCAGCGTAACCAGCCTTCCTCAGAACCTCCTGAATCTACAGCTGCCCCACTCGGTAGGGTTTCAGAAGTGCTGGCCACCTCCTGAAATCCACCCTTGGCTTTTATGCCACTTCAGATGCTAATCAGGCAACGTCTGAAGGAGGGTCACTCCGTGAAACCCAGGATGCTTCAGACACTCCCGTGACTCAATCTGTGGCATCCCTGTCCTGAACCAGCCTGGAACAGATACCCAAACCTGAGCACATCTAGAGCTGAGGCTGGTGTAAGATGTAAAACCACAACCATGAAAGATGCAGAGCACATGGTCTGGAAAGATCCTCTTGTATCTCCTCAGAAACATCAGTGTGCTACATCACATCAGCTTCTGCCCACTCCAATTCTCCAGGCAGTTCAGAGGGATGTGAGAGCACCACTCCACTCTGCAGCGCTCGGATGCTGCACGCTGCTGGCCATGGGTCAGCCCCCACCCCAGGGGCAGCTGCTGCCGAGGCTGATACAACCCCTCCATGTAGATGATCATAGAATCATCAAATGTTGTGAATTGGAAGGGACCCACAAGGA